CATTACATGGAACATTCAATAGAGTTAATTAGAGAATGCCACAATGCTTGTGTAGAATAATCGCCATAGAAATGTAGATCCTAAAGTTATCTTCAAACTGTGAGAACTTAGAGGGAAAGTTTGTTATACTTAGTGTTTTTAAAATGCACTGAATTTCCTAGTTATGCAATCCTGATGCTTTATTTTCTTATTTCCCAGATAATGCATTATTTCTGGCATATGACAAAGCAAAACAAGAATTTTCTTTGCATTAAGATATGCATCTATTTACAGTAGAACTCTGTAGGTGAGCTTTTAGACCTTGTAAACATAAATTCATTTTTTTCCTTTTATGGACAGCTTTAAATTTCTCTCCTGTCTTACCTTTCATGAAGAAAACTGAGTATTTTCCTAAGCTAAAAATTAGGCTCATAATAGATACTGTAATATCCATATAATGAATCAGAATAAGAATCCTGAATAAAGAACCTTCAAGAGGAGATTTGTGGATCAATTTTGAATTGACTCTAAATGGCATTCATTACTTTGTTAACACACAGGACCAGATGTTAATGATGATATAGCATCCACTTCAAATGAGGAGTCAGCAGCAGATATAGTTATCAACAGTAAATACACAGCCTTTGTAGATGCAGCTTTCCTGTTGTGTCTAAAAGAGACTATCTTGCTTGCACCATCTATCCTACACCTCTGGCCTCTACACTTTTTTCTTCCCTATTTTCGGTGCTGTTCTCTGAACCTTGGTGTAGGGATTATGTTGATGTATTGCGTGGGGTTGACCACCCAAATGTCAGTTGTTTTCTGCTTTTTAACCAGTGTGGATTGATGCGTTGGTTTCTGTAGGTTCCAAAACCAAGCTTCTTTGATGAGGAGTAAGAGCTACCCTTATCTGAACTCTCACAAGGCCCCACTCCCATGAAGAACTACAGGCTGCTGTGAGAGGGGTTTCAGCATTTGCCAGGAAAAAGTCTCCCTGATAGGTAGCCTATTTCAAGAGGCCAATGTGTTTTATATACATATACATACACATATATATATTAATGAGCAACACTATGCAGACTCAGTAGGATATGTGTATGTACACATACAAGCATACATACATACATACATACATACACACATATACATGTACATACATATATGTCCACATACACATACACCATATACATATACACAGACACATACACGTATACATATACACAGTCGGTATGTGTGTGTTAGTGTGTATGTATAACAATAACAAAGAAAAAGAGGTCATAAATTTGAGAGAGAGAGTCAGGAGTGGGCACAGGAGCAGTTAGTAGAAATGATACAAAACAGGATTTATGTATAAAATTTCAAAACAAAAATTAAAATAGAAAAACCAGATATCATCAACTAATTGTTTAGAGTATGGAAAATAATGAGAAAACCCCTATTGTTTGTAATGCAGCCCTATCTCAATTGTATTTTTCTGAGTATATGAGGTTGTTGTGTTTTGAAATAAAATTTAGTTTTTAAGTGGCTAGAGAGATGATTCAGTATTTTAGAGCACAAAGGGCTTTTGCAGGGGATTTGAATTTGGTTTCCAGAACCTGTATGATGCAACTGGCAGTCGATCAAATCCAAGTGCCATGGTTAGTATCAAGGTTTTAATTTAAATTGTATACATTGCATGTGGAATCTTATAACCCTCTCTTCCCAGCCTGCTTTCTCTGGGCTCAAGGCTGTGAGGTGCTAAGGGACGAATGTGGCCTGGCCTATTTCTGTATCTCAGGCTTGTCTCTGAAGTCTGGAAGGCTTGGAATCACTACTCGGACTTTGGGTCATAGTTTATTGCTGGTTTTCTCCATGTGTGGCTTATTTAAGGGTCTGAAAAATTCCTGGTTGCAGAAGGTCCACAGAGTGATAGCTCTTCTTCCAGCATGCACTGCTTTCCAAGTGTCTGGCTTCTGAGGGGCTGTAGTCACAAAAGGATGTTGATCTTACCCAATCTCACAACAGAAGTAAGGAATGGGGAACAAAGGGTTTAACCTTCAGTCTCCACAGAAGACATGCTATTACTTTCTTTTTCCCCCAACATACGTTGTTGTCTCAAGAGGGGAAGTAGCTTCTGCTGTTCCTTCAAGTCCAGATAAAAAGTCAGGGCCAGTATTGATGTTCAGGTTTCCCTAATCAGGGGAAACTAGGTCTATGTACAGTCTCATTCCCTCACCCCCTGCAGTAGAGGAGATAAAGGAACAGCTGTAGTGTGCAGTGCAGGATTCTACCACCCAACATCCCACACTCCAGTTCTTCTTTCCAAATTCGCTAATCCAATTCTGCTTCATTTGCCTCCTGATGCCCGTTGGAGGTCTGGCGTTCTTCCAGGACTCCCTTTGCACTAGGTATTTTGGTATCTAGAACCTTTGTTCTCAATTTAATATTAGCAATCTGAATACCTTTGTCTGTTCCTGTTGGGGGGTGTGAGCAGCTGTGGGTCTAGAAAGCTAGAAAAGGCTTTTTATTGAGTTCATAGGACTATTGCAATCCTATGCTATTCACATCCTAAACTTGGTAAGCATGCAATAATTTTATGCAATTGGTAGCCATTATATTGAAAATCTTTTTTTAAAAAAGTTCCTAAGTTAAGATGTCCATGATTGACAATCATCAGAGACACCAAACATTCAGTGTGGAGTTTATAAGCTGAGAGACACATGGAGATCTTTCAGGGATGGCAAGACTCTGATCTATTGTACGTCAAGCGGGACACCAAGTGGAGCAAGAAAAATACAAAACTCTGTGTTAAAATAAACTTTCACATAAATCCAGATACGTGTCCTATTCAGGAAACTGTGTGCTGCTTAGTATGAACCACACATTGTGTGGTTGTCCTGTGTCATGTATGACTTTCCTATGTACCAATCACCTGCTCTTCTGCACTGAGACTTAAACTGGATTCCCTTTCTCCTAGTGTCAAGCATCATATTCAGGCTCGGTCTGCTCCAGGCTAAGTAATCACCTATTTAAAATAGTGACTTGGGGTGAGTTTGATGAGCATGTGCTGAGTCATTCATACCAGGCTCCTTCTGTCAGCCCAGGGGACCAGCGTGAGTGGAAGAAAACAGTATCCGAATTTTCCTTATTGCCATCTGTCTGATCCCAAAGGGTGTTAATTCCCTGAAGGCTTAGTGCTTGCTCTGTTTCCTCAGGAAGGATAAGAACTATGTCAAGCCTTGGGAAGGTTTCTAATTAAACTGCTGCAGCTTTGATGCCAGAATTGGAGATTAGTGTTACATCTGTTAAAAAGACTCAATGTCGTATGCCACCAGACAAGAAAACATATGGTAGACTTTCCACGTAATTATTGAATTTATAATATTTATTAATTTTAAGATACAAATTATTACCACTTGGTAGACTGACTTGAGGGCATCAATCTAAGTTTAGAAAATGTGCTCCAGCCTAGGAGGGGGATTCCTGCTTGCCTGACTTTTGGCTCTTCAGCTAACAATGGTCATCATTAATATTTCTTTCTGATACAAAATCTGTTACTCTTGGGTGGCGCTGAACCTTTGAAAGGTAACAAAAAATGGCTACAAGTTGGAGGTATTTTGAGTTCAAGGGGAGAGAACCAACATACTCTGAGGGTCGATTATGAGTTGGGACTATGTGCTTCACATATATTCTTATTCTAAAAACATCATGCAGAGGGTGAAAGAAATAAATAATTTTGTTTGGGTGGTAAAAATTGTTTAACTCTGAAAGTACTGCACATGATGAAAATCTCCATAATTTTCCTTACAGATTTTTAAAATTTTATCTTATTTTATTTATTGTATCTATTTTTTATGTATGTGAGTACACTGTAGCTATCTTTAGACATACCAGAAGAGGGTATGGGGATCCCATTACAGATGGTTGTGAGCTACCATGTGGTTGCTGGGAACTGAACTCAGGACCTCTGGAAGGGCAGCCAGTGCTCTTACCACTGAGCCATCTCTCTAGGCCTCCTCCTCACAGATTCTGCCTACAGTTACTGTGTCTTTTGAGAATCTGAGAAAAATAAAATCACTAAGTTAACCTCTAGTTGAAAATAGTCTGTAATATCTCATATAGCCAATAATTTTTATTACCTTTGAAATTGTGTCAGCACAATTTCTTCCCAACATTTTCAGGAGATTTTAATAGCACATTTATTTACTGAGGTATGTTCACCTAACACCACACATACTATATATAGAATATCATATCTAAAATATCCGGAATCTTAAGATTTAGAATTCTATCTCTATCAAATGTGTTATATGAGCAAAATTTGTATATTTGGAACATTTTAGAGATGGAAATTCAAGTGTTTCTGAGGTGGTCTAGTCAACAGTAATTTTAAGGATGTGTAGTGATCTGTCAGTTGTTTCTTAGAAACTTTCCCTCACAGATTCTTCTTACACATAAGAAATGTAAACACTCTCCACCCAAATCATTGCTGTGCAACCTGCTTGTCTCCCCGGAGAACTTCACACCTTTCCAGTACTCATGAAGCCCAGAACTCCAGCTATCCTACTCATTTCAGAGGATAATATTAAAAATGAGTTTGAAACACACTTAGAAAAGGAGAATACCAAAATGATGCTATGTTCTAAAAAATGTAAGGAATATATATTTGTATATACACAAATGCACATATACTAATATATATGTGTGTGAATATATATATACATATATACATATATACATATATATATATATATATATATATATATATATATATATAATTTTAAATGGGTTCATGAATTTTTTTTTTTTACATTGTTGTGTCAGCCACTTTTCTCCTTCTGGTGTATAAGAGAGTAGTCAGTGTCCTTGTGTTAGATTTTGTGCATATTGAATTGTTATGTGGCATCTGAATTAATTTTCCCTAGGGAAATGGGTGTGAGGCATGAGCAGATGTCTTCATTGTAAAGCAAAGCACATGTTTGTCACATGATTGTAGAGCAGTCTGCTTCTATAACCATGATTTCGTCTCTCCTGTTCTCCAGATCATCTTCCGTAAAATTAGTGATGTGAAGAAGGAGGAGGAGGAGCGGCTGCGTCAGAAGAATGAGGTAACTCTGAGCATCCCCGTGGACCACCCAGTGAGGAAGCTCTTCCAGAAGTTCAAACAGCAGAAGGAACTGAGGAACCAGGGTTCAGCGCAGAGTGACCCCGAGAGGAGCCAGCTTCAGGTAGAGAGCCGCCCTTTGCAGAACGGAGCCTCCATCACAGGTACCAGTGTGGTCACTGTGTCACAGATTACCCCCATCCAGACATCTCTGGCCTATGTGAAAACCAGCGAGTCTCTTAAGCAGAACAACCGCGATGCCATGGAACTAAAGCCCAATGGCGGCGCTGAACCCAAATGTCTCAAGGTCAACAGCCCCATCCGAATGAAAAACGGAAATGGGAAGGGGTGGCTGAGACTGAAGAACAACATGGGGGCTCATGAGGAGAAAAAGGAAGACTGGAACAATGTCACCAAAGCTGAGTCGATGGGGCTGTTGTCCGAGGACCCCAAGGGCAGTGACTCAGAGAACAGTGTGACCAAGAACCCCTTAAGGAAAACGGATTCTTGTGACAGTGGGATTACAAAAAGTGACCTTCGTTTGGATAAAGCTGGTGAGGCCCGAAGTCCTCTGGAACACAGTCCCAGCCAGGCTGATGCCAAGCACCCCTTCTACCCTATCCCTGAGCAAGCCTTACAAACCACACTACAGGAAGTAAAACATGAACTCAAAGAGGACATCCAGCTGCTGAGCTGCAGAATGACTGCCCTGGAAAAGCAGGTGGCAGAGATTTTAAAACTACTCTCAGAGAAAAGTGTACCCCAGACATCTCCAAAACCCCAAATTCCACTCCAAGTACCTCCCCAAATACCATGTCAGGATATTTTTAGTGTCTCAAGGCCTGAGTCACCTGAATCTGACAAAGATGAAATCAACTTTTAATATATATATATACATATATACATATATATTTGTTAATATATTTAAAACAGTATATACATCTATATACATAAGTGTGTATATATAGTATATACATATATATTTTCACTTGCTTTCAATATGATGAACACAATATGGATTTTGATATGTACATACTGCATGTCCAGCTGGATTCTGGCCTGCCAAAGACAATTATTCAAAACATAGATATTGCTTGTACATTATGCAGTTGACTGCATGCACACTTTACATTTATTTATAATCTCTATTCTGTAATAAAAAAAAAGTATGAATTTTGTTAACTAAGGCAATGTAATCTTTGAAGAATCAGGGTCCAACCTGCCAATGTTGCCATGACAAACTTGATCTCAGGCTGAGTATACCGAGCTGTCATTTCTTCACTATTCTGTTCAGTTAAAATTATAGATTAACGTCAAGGGAGGGTTCAGCTTCTGGAGCTGTCAGACCACTTTACAGTCTCATGCCATAGGGTACTTTTCTGTAACTTAGTGTTAGGTTCCTTCTCCCTACAGGCAATGTTTGCTCCATTGAAATGACTATTTCGTTGCCTACATCTGATGCCACTGTCGGATATTGAGAACTTATTGCTATGGGTTTTGTGCATGAACTGCATTTCCACTCGATGACACCCCCCTTTTTAGCATTGTATTTGATAGTAATCATTAGCTCTTATGTAAAGAATCCCCTGCTCCCTCCGTCTTGGAGAATAACTGTCATCTTGGGAGCTGACTTGATCAACACCATAAATACTCAATTGTTAATATAGTGTATATTATTATAGAAACACTGCACCACAGGGTATAAGGGCCTCTTAACAATATGTTAGATATGCCGATTGTCCAAAGGCGATGAATGTTCTACAATTGTATTTCCAAAGCCCATTCAAAAGGGGATGTTGAAAGGCTCTTAGCAAAGAAACACATCAAAATTTTAACTGTTATTGATATATAATTTTTTAAAAAAGAATGTGAGCAGTTAGACGTTTTAATTGCACATCTGTGACATAGAAAGGATGAAATCTGGGTACAGAAACAATGACACATGGGGTTTATTGCTTGTAGAGGTAACACATGAAATGAGGTTAACTTACAAAATAACCAACCTAGGTGGGAATGTTTAAGTTGCTTTAGTAAGATAACTGCTTTTCTGACTTTATTCTGGGTACAGTTTCCCTGAGCTCTTTTGCACACAGTTACAGTGCTGGCTTTCTGTTTAGCTGATACAATAGACTATGGCTCAGGCAGGTCCACTTATAAAAGACTTAGGAGGCTAAATGTCATAGTCTTTCGGGTATTAATTCCTCTTCTGAGAAAGTGCCTATTATCGACCAAAAGAGAAGTCACAAATGTTGTGTTACCTGTATTTAGGCCCTTGGATGGCAAACTCTCAGATTGAAATGCATACCCCTTTTGAGAATCCGTGGAAACATTTTCTTATGATTCCAGCATGTTTTCTGGAGTTCTTCCTGGGGGTGTGGTTTTCAGTTGGTGAAGGCATAAAATTTAGTATCGATAATAAGAAGCTAGCATTTGCATTACCCTGAAAATGTATGTCAATCACTTGTGTACTGGTAGACTACTAATATATGCATTAATTATATGTGCATATATACATATAGAGATGAATATACAAAAGATGGTGACAAAATCAAAGAAAATATTTTGCTCTTTCATACAATTTTATGTGATTTTCTGTATCCTAGTCACTCTAAAATTATAAAAAGAAGAGTTACCACAATCAGTCTGGAAAAGTAGCAAACAGTACTGCTTTTTACGTTCTTCACAGTCCCAAAGATGGGCCCTTTTGTTCTAGGACTCTTGGGCTGTGTATTTGGCCACTGTGGCTTACAGTTGCTTTCCTTTCCATTACTAAATGTAGACATCTCCAGGGTCATGTATCTCCTTGCTCTGCTAAGATACCTACCACAGGAAAAAGGAAATGAAATAATTACAGAATCAGCCTTAGAATCGAAGTTTGGGGGGGCTCTCTTGTTTTAGCTTTTGTATTATGGAAGATATCTTGACCTTGGCTTCTGAGATGTATTGAGTTTCTTATTTGTCACAGTCAAGTAGAGCAGATACCTTTAAATCTGAATGATGATTAAAAAAAAAAAGAATGCAGAAATCCCTGTTCTGACTTTAGCTACACTCAAAACTAGCAGTTGGTCTGAAGCCGTAAGGGGGTCGCTGAAACAGAAACTGGTTTGAAGTGTGACTTATGCCCTTTCCTATTAGGTTTACAAACCTTTGCCAGGATGTGACAATGACCCAGACAGAGTTTTAGCTAACAACCTACAGCATTAGCCATAATGAGATTTCTATCTGAACATATGTTCCCATAGGTGGGGAAGAAACATAATGATTTCGAACTGCACCAGGCCCTCAATAGGAAGCCAAAGTACCAATTGTTTACTTTTGGGTGCAGTTCCCACAATACTCTCTTCCAGACCCCTGTCCTCTGCGTGCATGATGTGGCGTGGTGCTCAATGCACTCTGCACATATTCAGCCAACACTGTAAATAGTCTTAGGTTTCCAGATTTTACAACTTTTAACAGTAGAACTTAGTCAGATTTTAATGAAGGGTAAATACTTGCTTGCACACATGTGATAACGATACAATCACATTCTGTGTGGCCTCAACCAACACACAGACAGGGCAGGCTCTTTGGGGGACCAGATGACTGCATGTTTTATTCCTACACTGGTGCTCTTGGTGCATCCAGAATATTGTTTTTACTATTACATTTCTGAATAATATACTAATAGCACTCAATGGATATGTATTTGAAATGCAAATGATTTGCAAAGCAACCTATACATCTTTAATTCTCGTATAATAGTATGAATATATAAGATCAGACACTGTATTCTGGACAGGCAGTTGTGTCATGATAGCAGAAGTCAAATACAAACAGAATTGCGATCTTTCAGTCAAAGCAGGAAGGTTAGCTAACTTGAGTCTGGATAACGTTATACCCAATGTGCTCTAGTAAACAGAAGAACTTACAATAAAAGGTGAATAGAAACCCCAAAGTTAGAAAAGGATGTCAAAGCTCTCAATGTCTCTCTTTTACATGAATGACCTAATATAGTTCAGGATCAGTGGCAGAATTCATACCCAAACTTTATTGTCTAAAGGAAACTTTTTATTACAATCCTGGTTATACCTTTCATTGTGTACAAGACTACAAAAGCTCTAAATATTAAGAAAATTCCCCACAACTTTACATAGGTCATAGGACACAGAATACAAGAATGTGAGGTTTTAAATAGTTTCTAGAATTATGCAATGCCACACAGTACTTTAATGGAAATATTAACACAGCAAGTGTCATTTTAAAAATTAACTGGATAGAAATCCAAATACAAGTATTACAGAATTTAAGGAAATATTGTTTCCTTGTGAGACCCAGGAAACTTTTGGAATTCTTTAGGAAAAAAATAAAAACTATTTTTAAGTTAATCTTCAAAGAAGTGACCGGGATTGTGTATCAACTGGTCCTTGTGAAATTGCCCTTTTTATGGTTTTTTTTTTTGAGATTATAAATTAATAGTATCGTCTACTTCCCTTTCCTTCCTCCAAACCCACCCATATTCCCCTTTTTGCTTCCCTTCAAATTCATGACTTCCTTTTTTTCCCAGTAATTGTTATTGGTGAATTTTGTTACCTTACATAATTGTCTTTTTAAAGCTATTTTCTCTGAGTCTTTTTATTTTCCCCCAAAGTTTCATGTAGATAATGAGAAAATGTCTGGAGCCACCACACACAGATACCATCAAAATGAGTATCTTCTTAGGTGAATGTTGTACTTTTGTATCCTCAGTAGACATATGAGTATTGCTCCTGGGATTCTTTTGGAAAGGGAGAGCAGAAAGTATGTTTAGATTTCACACATCCTCAGATGAGTATTGGATACTGTCTTAGATTCTGATTCCAGCTGTCAATCTAGCAGTTTGGGCAGTCAGCTGTCTTTAGTGTGTTTCTGTTATCCAAACAACAAGTACTAAAACAAAGACCTAAATTACTCCCAATCTTACATCAAGCTGCTGATAGGTCAAAGGAAAGTAAACCACATTAGCTGCTTGAAAGGCACTAAAACTTGCCATATGTCCTTGGTGGCCGTGGTTTGATTGAGAAATTGATGACAGTTATTGTTAGTACTACAAGGAAGCAGTGTAGGCCATATAAACATTTGATTCTGAAGATAAGGTTCATTCTGTTAATGTTTTCTTATTCTGCAAAGAAGCATTTGTCCTCAGGGCCCCACACAAAGTCTTATTGTTATATTTGCTGGGATGATTTGAGGCAGGAAAATAAGCAGAGCAGTAAACACAAAGGGAACATTGTTTTTGCACCAGAAAGAACACTTGTGTTTAGATCTCTCACTGGAGTTTGCTAGAATTCTCAGCAAACTGCAATTTAAAAATGTGTTTCCAAGTAAGAATTTACTAAGAATATTTTGAAAGTGCACATAGTTGCAAGCATAGGAAAAAATGATTAAAAGTTTAACACTTAGAGTCAAAGGGGGCTAACTAATGGTCCATTATGGATTCTGACCTTTTACTATTACTGTAATCCTCTATTTATTTGCTAAGCAATTAGTAATATATATCTTTTCATCCACTGTATTAGGCCTGTGGCATTACAATTAACAGTTGCTTTACATGCAAATAAATATTTTCAATCAATTTGCTCTGAGTGGAAACTTTTGCTTACAGCCTGAATGCTTTATCAACTTCCATAAAAAATTATGATTATGACATGACAGCCACTACATTTTAGAGTTGATAAAGATTGCTTTAACCTTATAGAAAATATTCTTTTTTTTCTGGACTGGAAAAACAAAGCAGAAACAAATGTTCCTCAGGGTCACACAATCAGGACAAAAATGCAGATTTAGATATTAAATCAGTTACTAATACCAGACCATGTGCATGTGTGAGTGTCCAGATGGGGATTTACATAGCCATGTACATACGAACACACAGAGGTTCAGATTTTACATATCCATGTACATAGAAACACACAAAGAGATACACAGTATAGGCTGCTGTTTGGATGCTTATAAACTTTTATCATGATCATTGGCAATGCTGATAGGTACATTCTAGTCAACACCAGTGAGTGTACACACATTGAAAAATATGGTCCTTTGCTCTGCTATTGTTCAATGATGGACTTATGTTTACATATTTATTTTGTCTATAAACGTATATGCAGTCTTCTCAGTGAGATGATTAAGACTAAATTTGCTACTAACTGCAAAAAAATAGTTCACACAGAACAAAAATAACAAGACCATTTGAGCAGAAGGAAAATATTATTACCCCTTTTCTGTAGTTATAATGTATTTTTCTGACTGGCACATCCTCCAGAAAAGTAAGAGGACAAAATCTATGTGCATTCCAAATATTAAAGGATTTTTGAACATTAGATAATATAAATTATTAAACTAGCTCAACTGTAGGAATTGGACAAGAAATAAAGTCAGTTGGCTCTGTCCTGCATGGATTCTTCTTTAGTAGTAGTTTTTCTTTTCTAGGCAAAGGAACTCATCTATAAGCTGGTTCAAGTCCTCATAAACAAACTGTGGAAAATGCAGTTTTAACAGTGATGTTCCAGTCACCCTTCCTCAACGAGCTGCATGTCCCTGATTTCCATGTCTCTCTATTGTAAAATTTAGATCTTCAGTAAAGTATACTTCCCAAATTTTACTCAATTTGAAATATTTATCATTCATAAGTTTGATATCAACTAGAAGTTGCAGTTTTTTTTAGTTACCATTCACCGCCCCCCATCCCATGCTAAAACATTAAATTAACTTTCCCTGCATTTATAGATTCTTTCATCTCCTGGACTTGACTCTACTTTCCTCTTTAAGAATATTTCTAGAATGAGACACCTAGGTGCTCAGTCAATTG